AAATTAATAGTCACATAATTCACTAAAAAGGAGAGTTAGAGAGAAGAATTGTAGGGGGCAACTCTTAAATAAGTTTGTCGAATAGTCAACTTGATAACAATAAAGTTTTAAGTTTGATTTCTCATTAAATTTGTTTGTTGACATCATTAGTTTGAAGAGATCTGCAGCTATGAACAACTTAAACTACCCGACTAGAATTATAAAGTTTTTCACCTATAATGTGCTTTCGAGTAGCAGCAAAACAAGTTTGGGATGTATGTTAAGCAAAAGATGATATGAGAAGATTAGTGCGCCTCTAAAGTCTAAGCACATTGGTGAGCTAAAAGGTTGAGGAGATCCGAGCTGAGCTTCAATCTTTCCCCACTTTATTTCAAATCCCAACTAAAATTTTGAGGCACTTTTTGTGACAAAAGTGAAGAGAATGACAAAGTGAAGTGGAATAAAATATAGGTGTTCCATAAAATGTATACCTTAGCTTCTTTTTATGCTCTCCAAATTTCTATCATATGCACAAACTCTCAAGTACCACCTCCTTTCAATGTCTCTCTTTCTCTCTTCCTCCCTTGATGGACTTAATTGTAACTTCACCCTCTCAATTATTGTTGTTGTTGTTGTTTTTTTTTTTTAAATAGCTTTTCAATTTAAAATTTACTAGATTTGATTCCCGAATGTTTAAATATCTATTACTTTTAATTATTTTATTTAAATATTAAAAAAATCATTTTTAATAGTTTGAAACCAGATTTAATCAATTTTTAACTTAAGTGCTTGAAATTAAAAAAAAAAAAAAACAAGATATCATTATATGCTCAAAATTGTGAGAATCACCTCCTTTTCCAAAGCTTCTTCCTTCCTCCCATCTCAATGATGGAGTAGTTAATTGTAATTTTATTAGTTTCACCACTACATTTTCTTGCTTTTAGTTTATTAATTTAAAATCGAGTAAATTTGATTCTTAACTATTAAAAAACATGTCAGTTTTAGTTATTAGAAATATTAAAATTGATACATTTCAATAATTTGAAATTAAATTTGATCGATTATTGATCTTATTCAATACACGGACTAAGAAATTAATTTCATCGTCACATACTCAAAATTTCAAGGACCACAACCTTTTACAATAACTCTCCCTCCCCCACTTCTCATTGATGGAGCTAATTATAAATGTATCATCTTGATTAATGCATTTTCTCACTTTTTCATTTATAAGTTTAAAATTGACTAGATTTGATTATCAATTATTGAAAATATGTTACTTTTGTTATTCTTCTCCCAAAAAGGTTGAATCGCCAATCCCAAGGGCTCCCCACACCCTAGTCTGACAGAGTATTTGAGATTATGTAAATCACGGTGACTCAATGACATAACAGACATGACCAAATGCCGATGCGACAAGGAAGGTGACTCAATGGTTCAGCAAACATAGCTAAATGTCGGTGCACACAAGGAATCAGCCTACTTTGAGCATCCGAGATTTGAAGATTGGTCTCTTCTCCCAAATACTGCCTACTGAACCATTGGACATAAATGTGTTACTTTTAGCCATCTGAAAGATTACAAATAATAAATTTTCAATAATTTTAGATAGAAAAAAAATCTATTTTGAGCTTGAATACTAATAATTAAAAAAAAAAACACAATATCAAAACTTGAATTAACCCTTCTAATGGAGCCATGCATGGGGGTGAAGTTATAAAGGAAACATGTTTTGAAGTGTAAAATATAGTGTAAAAATGGTGGTCCAAAAAAATAAATATTATAATGTGTTAGAAGCATTCATGCACCATTCACTTCAATAGGGGAGACAAGTCACTAGGAAGTTGCTTTCTAATGATGTTTTCTCACTTTATGATAGCAAATGCCCAAGGACCACATTTATCTTTAATTAATTTTTCACATTAAAATAAAAATTAAAGAACAAAAAAAAAATACCACCTAATAATAAGTCAAAACTCTCCCCTCTTTTATTGCTTTTTTTTTTTCTTTTTTTTTTTTCCTTTTCCTTTTACTACTCTGAGTACTCTCTAATGTAATTCACATATATATATATATATATATATATATATATATATATATATATATATATATATATATATTTAATTTGCTAACTTTTAAAAAAGAATAATGGATTTGTACTTCCTATTTGCTTTCCTCCTCCTCCACTTCCTCCTTAAAAAAAATGAAATTATTCTATTCTTCTCAATCAAGTTGGCTTTATTTATTTATTTATTGTCAAGTTTATTTTGTTTACCATATTTAAAAAAAAAAAACAATCTTATTATTCGACAAAAGTGTTAACAGCAATGCATCTAAATGAGAAATGTGATTTTTGCCCGCACGACTTAGCTCAATAAGAGACCAATGTTTGAACTTCGACAGTAGCAGTGTGGGGATTATGCTCAAAGTAGGCAGATCCCTTGTGCGCACCGACGCTGTTGAGAATGTTAGCAACATTTTAATTTATGATGTTGGCAAAGTATATAAACTGTACTTGTTATAGTTTTTATATATGATGAAATGATGAATGTTACTACATTAGTGCACTAGGAAGACTCTGAATAACATGCTCGATTGAGAAAATTTTGACAAAAATTGAACTCGTGATCTTTTGGTTTAAGAATCATGGTCCACTGAATCGACCACCCATTTTGATCGGGACAAGTCATACTATATTTCTTTTTTAAAAAATTATGAAATATTTATTAATTTTTGTATTTAATATTTTGTGTATACATCTCATTATTTGATTACATTGTTATGGATTTAGTCAACAAATACATATAAAAAGTTTTTTTTTTTTTTCTTAAATCCTTATAAACAATACTGCATCAAGAGTGAATGTGACCGCAATTCGGTTTTAATTTCGAATCAATAGTTCACGGTTGAGAAATACGGAGCATTTAGAATTAGAATAAGAACCTTATGGAGAAGGTTTAGTTTTGGTTCCACAAACTAGTAGTTCAAGTTCAAACTGTTGATTGGAACCTTTTTTTTTTTTTTTTTTTTTTTTTTTTTTTTTTTTTTTTTTTTTTTTGTTTTAAATCAAATATTGAAATTGTAAATTTAAAGTTTCAAATTCTGTACATGTGAGTTATGTGTGTGTACTAAAACAAATCCTGGTTCTAGTTAAGATTTGAATTGTATAGTACTCAGTTTTGTCCGAACTGAATGAGGTCATGCTGATGAGAACATTAATTAATGAGAGAAAATAGTACAGAGTATATATACAAGTACATGATTAGAATAAAAAAAGTTAATTTCTAAAATGGTAATCCGATTATAATATTTTCTTAAATTGGTCTCTTGATTTTTAATTTTTCAAAATGATCCACCGATTTTTGAATTTTAAGCCAAAATAGTTATCTATTAGATTTGGCGTTAAGCTGGTGTTAAAATGAAGAGTAAAACTGTAAATTTAGGTTTTACACTCCAATTTAAAGCAATTTGTGATTCCTTTCAGCAGTTTGCGTACATATTTCTTCAAATTAGATTTTTGCTCTCTTTAATTTGCAATCAAAATGTGGGATAATAAACTAGAAGGTAAAAAAAGTTCATCTTCAACTTCATCCACAAATTTTCCAAGCAAAGATTTCTGGCCTTCATTAAAAAATATGGCAAATTATGCCCTGGACCCGTCACGGGCCCAAAACGACGTCTTTTTTTAAAAAAACGCGTCATTTAGTTAAAAAAAAATTCGCGCGTGTTTTGCCATTAACGGCGTTATTTTTTTTTTGGATTATGAATGTACAGTTATGCCGTTATGAATGTACAGTTATGTAATTATGAAATTATGAACACAGAGCTCTAACATTATGAACTTACAATTATGAACATATAGTGATAAAATTTATGACCATGGAGCTTTAAAATTGTGAATATAGAGCTTCGAAGATTATGAATGTACAGTTATGGAGTTATGAATGTACAGTTATAGAGTTATGAATCTACAGTTATGGAGTTATGAATCTACAGTTATGAGATTATGAATCTACAGTTATGGAATTATGAATGTACAGTTATTGATCGAATTATGAACAAAGAGCTCTGACATTATGAACTTACAATTATGAACATATAGTGATAAAATTATGAACATAGAACTCTAAAATTGTGAACATAGAGTTTCGAAAATTATGAATGTACAATTATGGAGTTATGAATGTACAATTATGGAGTTATGAATGTACAGTTATAGAGTTATGAACGTACAGTTATGGAGTTATGAATGTACAGTTATTAATATATAGTAATAAAATTATGAACATATACTCCTATAACGAAGCGGTCTGAAATTAAAAAAAAAGAAAAGAAGGAGATAACAGTGCCTAACAGCACTGTTATCCGTGTCCAGCATGCATGCTGGACACGGTCCAACGCATAACGATTACAAAAATATTATCTAAAAAATGCCCAGAAAATGTGATCATATTTTATTTTTGTCAAAATTCAGTTTGAGTTTGGGGTCACTCGTTAAAATATTATCCAAAAGGCCACGGCCCAATTGCCAAAATTTCGGGTCAATCATGGTTATTGGATTAGATACCACTTGAAACTTTATTTGATTGTTATACATGACTATTGTTGACATTGCAAGAACTAAATTATTATTATTTTTATTTTACTTTTTATACAAATAAAATTAATATAAAAAAAATATATCATTAGAAATTTATAATTAATATCTTTTAAATGACATTCGCCAAGCACCTTGTGCTCAGATGACATGTAGTGACCTCTCTCTTGTGGGAGGTGGCGTTGTGCTCAGATGACATGTAGTGACCTCTCTCTTGTGGGAGGTGGCGTTGTTGACTCTTTGTGCTTCATTAGGTTGAGAAAATATGTTTGAACAGATACTACAATGTAATAGAGTCAATAGCATTAAAAAAAAATGACATTCATACTAATACTCCTAAGTAGTTAAGTGTTCAAATTAAAAAGTGGACACTAATTATTTTGAGAATGTGGTCTACTGTTAGGGTGTCATCAAGTTGAAATAATTTATGTGCATATCCATGAATCTGAATGCATATATTATTCATACTTGAGGGCTCGTTTCAATTCAAAGAAATAGAAGTAAAATACAATGAAAGCAATAAGGATTTTGTGTAGGTGTTGAGACTTGTTGGAAACATTATGGGATTCTGCTAAGTTACTTAACACAATTATCTTGCTGGCCTCTGCTTCTCTCATGGCAGTGATGTTCCTTTCTACATCTTTCCTCTTCTTCGTCTCTCTCTCCGCCGCCTTTTTCGCCGCTTTCATCTCCTCCGTTGCCGCCATTCTCATCGCTTTCTCTTTCGCTGCCATTGCCACCGCCTCCTCCCTCTCCCTTTCTGCTTCTTTCATCTTCTTCTCCATTTCTTGGTTTACATTCAAAACCTCTTTTGTCTGCATTACCATCAATAACATATCAGTGAAACCGTGGAATGAGTCGGGCCAATATAAAAACATAATACTAATTAGAAGTAATGCCAAATGGGGTCCTCAGAGTATAATAGTTTTGAAAAGTTGAATCACTAATGGTCCTTCACCTTTCAAATTGTTACCATCTGGGTCTAAGTTAACTACTCATGGTTTTTCAATTTTTAAAATTTAACCATCCGTGATCCTCAGGTGATTAAAATTTGATAGTTGAAGGACAATTGATGGTTAACTTGGACCACATATGGTAACAATTTGAAAGTCGAATGACCACGTGGAATCTTTGAAAGTTTAAGACTAAACGTGAAAAAACCACTATACTAAAGTGTTTGTTACTTATAAGAAAAAAAAATGTCATGTAATACTTTGAGGAAAAACGTAATACTTTTAAATCAAAATGTAAAAGTATTACATTTTTTTCTTCAAAAAGTATTTGCCCTTTCCGAAGTAAAGAACGTTGTATTTCTGATTAGTATTACAATTTTTAGTATATGTATTACGTTTTCATATTGATCCAACCCGTTTCGCAGATTGCGCAAATTTTTGCCATAACATATACGTTGTACCTCTTTAAAAAATCTCATCATTTTCATTGGATTTTGACATCAAAATTTTAATGTGATTCATATTGAAGTACTTATAATCAGTGACTCAAGATATAATATGACATTCTGTTTGAGAAAATTTGAAATAATTACCTTCTCAAACATTGCCAATGCCTCCATCTTCTCCAATTCAACTTCTCTTAGCTTCTTCTCCATTTCCTTGCATAGATTTTCAAGTTCTTTCGTCTAAAATAAAAACAATATATATATGTTGCATTATGCATTAATTATTTAATACCTTTAACAGATAATATTTATTCATAGCACGATATGTAACTAATATTTTGAACTTTTTATTTTGGTTTAAAAAGGGCAATAGTTATATGTTGAGTTTATTTCTTGATTATACTGATTTTTTTGATTTAGTCCCTAAACATGCTTAATTAATTGGGTCTTAAACTTAGATGAGTTTACGTAATTGAGTCATCGACAATTAGAATTAAGGACTAAATCAAGAAAAATCATTATAGTAGTTGAAGACTAAATTCGGTAAAATCATAATAGTCGAGGATTAAATTAAAATGAGTATTAATAAATGTGAAATTACCAAATTATCATAACAGTGAACTCAATTAAGTAAAACCGTCCTGATCCCAATTGAGCCCAAAAAAGATGTTTAGGATTAAATCGAGAAAAATCGTTATAATTGGACTAATTTAGATATTAACAAAGTAAAACCCACAACTTAAAAAAAAAAAAAACAGAAGAGAAAAAAAATCATAATATATAGTTCATATTTGAGAAAATAAAATATAGGAAAAAGTAGAGTAATTACCTTTTGTTTTTGTTGGACAGCTTGTTTACAGGCTTCATGGTACATTTCCATGGTCTGATTGGTTTCAAGCTCTATTCTTCTCATCATTTCTCCCGCCACATCGTCCTAATACATTCACACAAACAAATATACATTTACATTTGGAAGTTCACAATCCTTAAATTATATATTTTAGGATATTGCTTAGAAAATACTAATATATCATTACAAAGTCAAGTATGAATTAAAACGTCTAATATTATTTTGCAGGTCAAGTAACATTAAGAAGATATCAACTATAGCTGGAGATTAATATTTAAGTTTATTCAGTTAATAGTTAGACTACGAGTATAATACATTTACCGTTGTCGGCGAAGATGGGAGCGAGTTTGGCCGGCTGCATTCATCATCGTCGTCCACCGCCGACGACTTCTGCTCACCGGAATAAACCAATCCCCCCCTTGTGAAATTGTTCCCATTATTCTTCCTCCTCGCATACGAACTAAAACTAGCCGATTCCGATGATGATGCGGCGTTATTCCGTTGATCGGATGGCAGGTTTTGGTACAAAGCCAAAAGCGAACTGTCGGCGGACAAGGAGATGTCGGTGTATAATCTGGCCTGGAAAACCACCTCGTCCGACGGCGTTCGGGAGCGGCACATACTGGCGCTGGTGTTGAGCTTCCGCTCTGGAACATTCTGGAATATTCTCTCCAACGAGGATTTCAATGGATGGGTGGCTTCTCTCGCGGAAGCCACCTTGTTCCCCTTGGCAATGGTGTAAACGCTGCAATACCCTGGTGCCCCTTTCATCACTGTGCTTGCAACCTCACTCCTATTGTTCAACAATCTGCATGCCAATATAATATGAAATAGCAACAAAAGTTTTTTCGGATACCAAAAGTGGTCAGAAATCACTTTCAGGTGGTCGGAAATTCAGTAGTGAGAGAGGTTCTCATTTCAACATCACTCAGTTAATACAAACCAAATTAAATCAAGTCTAATAAACATGAAATGAAAATTTTAAGGAAATGAAGGGCGGTTGGTTAGTATATATACATACATTCGAGGAATGCCAAGATGTTTGGCTTTGGATTGGGTACCGAGTACCAGAATTTGGATTCTGTATAACGACACATAATCAATTAGGGCCTTGCCTATGTCTTGATCTTCAAGCATTACAGTATCACAAAAAACCTGAGGATATATATACATAATTAAGCCATCCAAATTACACTGAAGGAATTGAAGAATTGATGAAATGATATGATGGAGCTTAATTACCTGTCTAGAAGAACAAAACAAGCGATATGGAAGAAATACATCCGTGGAGGAATCATCTGGGTCTTGTGCTCCGTTTGAGAAATCACCGTTTCCAGCTGCATCAGTAACAAATTAAACAACACAATAATATATATATTAAAAAAAATTAAGAATGTGTTATAATTATATTAAAAGTTAAATAAATATATGGAGAGAGAGAGAGAGAAAGAGGTGCATACTAGGTATGGGTTTAGGTAAGGATGATTGATGAACATGGATTAATATTAGAGTTTGGCCTTTAGAGAGAAGAACATCGGTCGTCCATTGGAGAGCATAGAAGCTGTGTTTGTCATTTCTGTCGATGGCCACCGCCACCGATCTCTCTTCCTCCAACCCAATTGGACCCAACATCCTCGTAATGTATTTAAGGAATTAAACAACAAAATGATCGAGGAAATTGTGACAACAAGTAGGAACAAACTAAATGAAAAAGGGACAACGTTGAGAAGATGAAGGATGCATACAGATTGAATTAAAGAGGCCTAAATTTGGGTCAAACCCTAATGAAGGATATCGATATATAGATTGAATTGAAGAACCCTAAATTAGGGTCAAACCCTAATGAAGGATATCTATATATAATATATATAGATTGGATTGAACAACCCTAAATTTGGGTTAAAACCTAATGAAGGTATATATATAGATTGAATTGAAGAACCCTAAATTTGGGTCGAAACCCAAACACCTCCTCAAAACCTACAAGGAATTGATTCGTGGTGATTGAGTTTGAAATCCATTTCTTTGAAAAATATATCTAAATGCTAAAAAGTTCTTTAAAAAGAAAAAAAACAACTTAATTTGCTTGAATGGTGAGGGTGGTGATGCATATATCATAGATTTTAATTATGATTTTTAATAATCTATTATTATTATTATTATTATTATTATTATTATTATTATTATTATTATTATTATTATTATTATTATTATTATTATTATTATTATTATTATTATTATTATTATTATTATTATTATTATTATTATTATTTTGAAAGGTATATTTAGTATTCTTAATTCTTTCTAATATTATACAAATAAATACATCATATCTCTGTATGTTTCCAAATAAAAAAAAAACCATCATTTCTTGAATATAGATATATTGACCGAACTATCGTGGCTTGTTCTTACTATAGGATTATGTAGAAAGAGCTTTAATTTTCTATATATTATATTATGCAATGATATGTACATGCATGTACAAATCCTAATACAAACCTAGTAGGAATAATATAATTAAGTAAATACAATCAAATTTAATCACTTTATCTATGCATATATGGTACATTCCTAATACAAAGAGTATTTTTTTTTTTTTTTTGGGTATACCCAGGGTTTCCAGAATTGTAAGCACATCTTTTGGGTGGGACAACTCGAACCCTTGACTTTTGGCTAAGGATGAATGAGTCTCTTTCACTCAACCACACCCTCCAGGTTAAAAAGTATTAATTTCTAATCCTCTCCCTCAACATAAAAAGAGGGTGAAAAGCAATACAAAACTTGTCACACAGCACACATAAATATGAAGGAGGGTGAGAATCAATACAAAACTTGTCACACAACGCACATAAATATGAATGAGGGTGGGAAGCAATACAAAACTTGTCACGTAGCATACACACAAATGTGAGAAGTCCAAAGCTTTAGTGAAAATATTAGCTATTTGGTCCTTCGTGGAGATGAAGTTAACTTGTAATTACATGGAGGTAGAGCTATCAAAACTGGCTAGCCCAACCCATGTGGGCTAGTCCGTCTCGGTTCATCTAGAAACGAGTCGACCCATTTTTTTTTTTTTTTACATAGGTTGGAAAAATCCCAGCCCAACCTGTGTTAGCACGGACTGATGGACTAAATGGCCTGTCAACCCTTTTATTTATTTATTTATTTATTTTTATATCAGAAGGAAGGGGGTCACCCGAAAGGAAAACTAGTTTATACGAAGGCGCGAAATGGGAATTCCACCACAATCATTCTCAAGAATATGGTACAGCTCGTCAGGTGGTTCGTTGATGACTCCAGGGCCTGTGTAGATAGATGCGTTCCTTGCCAAGAAGTTAGCAGCTTGGTTTTGTTCCCTAGCGATATGAAGCAACTGCCATTCACCAATGTCTTTTGCTCTCTGACACATGGATGAAGGATGTTATCTACAGTGTTCCTGACTTTCAGGTTATGTTTGATAGCATCAACGATTAAGTTAGAGTCACATTCAAATATGGTTCTTCTGCTTCCTACCAAATTAGCCAACTGAATACCTCTTAATAGACCCCAAGCCTCAGCTGTCTCGGCCGCACAAACTCTGATTTTGTGCATGAACCCTCTGATCCACATCCCATCCTCATTTCTGGCTAAACCTCCACATGCCGCCTTATTATTATGGAGATTTGAACTCCCATCCACGTTAATCTTTAACCAACCAAGAAGTGGTTTTGACCACTTAATAAATCTCTATGCTCTGTCTGGTGTCTGCGAGGATTGACTTGCCGCTCTGAAGAATGCTGTAGTTATTTTCGAGACCTGATTCTGAATCCAATAGACCTTAAACCTTTGATCATGATCCTTGGCATTGAAGATTCTATCATTGCGCCATTTCCAAAGCCACCATGTGGTGACAGCAAACGTGATGCACATTGTATGTTTACGATTATTGTCTTGAAAGTTACTTATTCCGGCATCCAGCCAGTCAAGGAAGGATAGATCCTGAGAATTTTGAAGCATATTGGGAAGAAGGAGGTCCCAAGTTTCACTTGCCTTGGGGAAGTGGTGAAGGATATGCTTTGAAGATTTAACAGGGTCTGCACAGAAGTCACATCTGTTTTTGGTAGTGAAACCGCGTCTCATTCTGTTGACATTCGTCATTAGTTTATCGTGCCTAGCTAGCCATAGAAAGACTTGAATACGGCTGGGCACCTTTAGTTTTCCAGATATGGTTCCAGACTTGCGTGCCACTTAGGCTGTCATCTCTCGAGATAATTTAATAAGCTGACTTGATCGAAAATTCATCCGAATTTCCTTTGCCCCATCCTATACTATCTTCCTGGTCAGTATCGTCACATAGCACGAAAGCTGCAAGGCGATTAGTAGTCTCTGTTGGGAAAAGATTGGTTAGGCAAGGCCATTTCCACCCTGATGATGAGTTCCAATAAGATGCCACTGGTGCATAAAGCTCTGGCAATGGTAAGGGTGCACGTAGTTGTTCAGCCAAAGGTCGATGGCCTAGCTAAGAATCCATCCAGAACATAGTGGTCTTCCCGTTCCTAACTTGTTTGCACAAACCCTTGATCAAAGTAGGGGTGGCTCGGATGATGCCTTTCCATGCATTAGAAGACCCCCGTTTTGGCTGCCACGTCTGAGGATCAATACTGCCATTCATGTATTTAGCCTTCATTATTTTTGTCCAACCAAGCTTGGTGAGGAAGGCTTGATTCAGTAATCCAAGCTTCCGAAGCCCCATGCCACCATGTTTTTTAGTTTTAGTGACAGTATCCTAGGCTACCAGATTGCACTTTCTTGTGTCACCCTCTGAGCCCCAGATAAAATCTCTAATAATTCTTTCAATCAGCAAAATGACTCTGGTAGGAAAGAATGTGGTCTGCATTACGTAGGTGGGAATGGCAGAGAGAACAGATTGCGCCAGGGTTCTCCTACCCGCTAAGGAAAGGGATATCATTTTCGAACCTGCAAGCTTGGACTGTATCTTCAAAATCAGACCTGCGAAGGTATCAATTTTTAACCTACCATGTAAGGAAGGCACAACCAGGTAATTACTTAAATCATCAGTCCTGGGTATTTGCAGTATATGCGCAGTAGTTATCTGAGTAGCCAGTGGTGTATTTCTGGAAAAATAGATAAGTGACTTCTGGTAGTTAACCTTCTGACCAGAATGGCTACGGAAGACATCAAGGCAGTGTTTCATGGTTTGGGCCTGATCTATCGTTGCTTCCCCAAACAAGAGCATATCGTCGGTGAAGAATAGGTGAGTTAACTCTGGTCTGTCCTTTGTGACATTGATTCCTTTCCATTCTCCAGATTTAACTTTCTCATTAATGAGGTGACCAAGTCGTTCTATGCATAAGACGAACAGCAAGGGTGATATGGGATCACCTTGGCGAATCCCTAGGCTTGGCCTAAACCATACTGTTCTCTTCCCGTTGCATTGGATTGCTAGTCTTGAAGTAGACACACAAGACATTATGTTCCTAATCCAACTTTGAGAAAATCGCTAAATAACCTCTCAAAGCTAAGTATATCAGAAACAACAATTAGACCCTCATTATATAATAAATGAGCAAATTACACTTTTGGTCCTATGACAATAGGGAGTGTGTTAATTTCAGTCCGTGACTTTTAAAACTAACAATTTAGTCCTTTAACTATGCTTTTTTTTAGCAGATTTGGTCCTCCCGGCCAAATCATCTGTAGAAATTGGCCGGAAATACGTTTTGCCATTTTAAATTAAATATTAAGGGGATAAATTGGTCATTTTAAGTGTTTCCTTCTTCTTTGCTTCGTTTGCCATTGTACGATGTAACGTCTAGCCCTAGAGCACCGCTTGCCAGCGGCGTATGAAGACGCCGTGGACGAGCTGAAGTGGGTGAGCTCGACCTAAGACGGGTGGGTCCGCAACTTCGTGGATTTAGACAACTGTTATCTTTCCGGCACCAGCGCCGGCGGAAACCTTGCTTACTTTGCTGGACTGAGGGTGGCGGCGGAAGAGCTCAAGCCACTAAATATCAAGGGGATGATCTTGCACCATCCTTATTTCAGCGGGAAGACGATGTCGGAATCCGAGTAAAGGCTCAAAAACGATCCCATTTTTCTGTTGTACGCGATTGATCAGATGTATGGTCTGTGTTTGTCGAAGGGTACGGTGTCGACGGCGATGATCCGTTGGTGGATGCCGGTAAGCAGTGTGCAAAGTTGCTGGAAGGGAAGGGGATTCCAATGACGGCGGCGTTGTTTGGGGAAGGATATCATGTGATGGAGAATTTCATTTTTTGATTTTTAATTTTTAACACTTAAAATAACCGATTTACCCTCCCTAATATTTAATTTAAAATGGCAAACATATTTCCGGTCAATTTCCACCGGTGATTTGGCCGGGAGGACCAAATCTGCTAAAAATAGCATCGTTAAAGGACTAAATTGTTAGTTTTAAAAATCACGAACCAAAATTAACACGCTCTCTATAGTCATAGGACCAAAAGTGTAATTTGCTCTATAAGAAAATGCCCAATTGAACCCCACAACTCATCAAATTAGTGTAATCCGACCAATTAGCCTATAATCTTCTTATTTAAACAAGTTAAATATGACATGTAAGACCTAATGAGTGTTGACATGGATAATAAAATATATTTCTCCTAACTTAACATCATATCATCCCAAGTGTTTATTCGATATATAATTATATAATAAAATGCCAAATTGAATCCCTCAACTCATCAAATTAGTGTAATCCGACCAATTAGCCTTTTTTTTTTTTTTTTTTTTTTTTTTGAAAGCCAAAACCTTCATATATTGCATTAACTTAACTCGAAAGGAATAAAAGATGGTAGGGACTCGGTCCATACTGAACGTTCGTGAACCGCCCTTACATGTTTAGCTAAGGCATGAGATACCAAATTGGTGCCTCTGCGAACAAACTGAACTGAATGAACTGGGAATGAATTAAACAAACGCAAACATGAATCTAAAACAATGCCAAGATACGAACGATAAGACCTGCTGCCTCGAAAACTATCCACAAGAACTGCGCAATCCGTCAAGATGACAATATTGTGATGATTGTGATTCTGTAGCCATGAGAGAGCCTCACGTATTGCCATCGCTTCAGCTAGCAGGGGGTCATATGGGCAAGAGAGAGGGCCATTTACCGCTGCTATAAAAACACCAACCGAGCTTCGGACGTAGAACCCGAAAGTCGGGGCGTGTTGGGGTCCATAAAACCCCGCATCCGTACTACACAACACTGCATCTTGGGGGTAGGATGCGGCGGCTTGTTGCGGTAAAGTGAGTAGCGCCCCATGCGGTTGTTGCGGCAAAACAGTGGGACCGGTCTGGCGTGACGTGGAGCTGCCGAGAGCATTGGAGGAACTCCAAACAGCCCATGCACGGCGAGAGACGGTACAAAGCTGCATCGGGGTAGGCAAAGCATGATCCCAAACCGCCATATTCCGGGCCTTCCATAATTCGTAGAGTATTCCACATATTTGTTCCTTTAGAAAACCAGCAGATATTGCTGTGTTCCCTAACCAAAGCTCCACCCACTGCATAAAATCATGATTACCAAAGTTAGGGATTTGGAGTTGTGAAATATTCCACACATGTCTAGCATAAACACAATTGCATAAAATGTGCATAACATCCTCTTCAAAAATCCCACAAGCAGGGCACACATTATGGATCTCCACCCTCCTTCTAACCAAATTAGTAATTGTTGGCAAAATATTAGTAGCAGCTCTCCACATGAAAACTTTCCATTTCGGGGGTACCCGTAGTTTCCAGATGTTGTTCCATAAAGCATCAGTAGGGGTATTAATCTCTCCAAGCAGCCTATAACCATTTTTAACCGTATAAATACCCCTAAAATCCCCCGACCAGTACCAATCATCAATAAAATCCACACTTACAGGGGTCTGTAAAATCAAATTAACATCCCTGGGAATAAATAGCTGTGATATTATATCCTGTTTCCAAATCCCCTGATCATAATCAATCAAGTCTGCCACTATCAAATCCGAATCATGCATAGGCTGATCTGAGTGAACAAACGGATCATGGGGGTCAGGCAACCAGGGATGGTCCCAGACTTTAGTCATTCTTCCATTGCCTACTCTCCGCCTGCAACCATTTCGAATAAGATCATGGCTGGCCATTATGCTTCTCCACACATAACTTGGGTTACCACCAAGCGTGGCCTCATAAAAGGTAGTATTAGGAAAATACCTTGCTTTAAAAATCCTCGCCACTAGGGAGTCCGGGCTAATCAACAATCTCCACCCTTGCTTCCCAAGAAGAGCCAAATTAAACTCATGCAAACTTTTAAAACCCATGCCCCCATGCTTCTTGGGAACACTCATCTTATCCCAGGCCATCCAGTGAATGCCATCAACCACATTACTCTTACCCCACCAGTATCTATTCATGAGTCTTTCCAGTGAAGCGCATAAAGTCAAAGGTAACAGATATATGCTCATGGTGTAGGTCGGCATTGCCTGTGCCACACTTTTCAGTAACACCTCCTTCCCTGCCATGGATAACAGTCTCTTATTCCAGGAGCCAAACCTCTGTTTCAATTTCTGCTCAATATACGAGAAAACCACTTTCCTGTTCCTTCCAATAACTGAGGGAAGGCCCAGATATTTCCCAAAATCCTCTGCTTGCTCAACTCCCAGCTCATTAGCAATATCATTCCTGACCCCCAAGTCAGTATTGCGACTAAAAGAAATATTGGATTTATGATAATTAACAGACTGGCCTGAAAATTCCTCATAAACCGCTAAACATCGTTTCACTTCCAATGTTTCCTGCATATTAGCCTTAAAAAAGAGAAGACTATCATCTGCAAAGAAGAGATGCGAGATAGATGGGGCTCCACGAGCAACCCTGCAACCATGCATCCGTCCTTTTGCCTGAGCATCCTGCAACAAAAGAGACAGGCCTTCTGCACATATAATAAATAGATACGGAGATAGAGGGTCTCCCTGCCTTAACCCCCTGGATGGGATTATTTCATTGCTCGGCTTCCCATTTACCAACACCCTGTACCTAACAGTCCGTACACAGTGCATTATGAGTCCAACCCACTTCTCATTAAAACCCAGACCCAACATCATACTTTCCACAAACGACCACTCCATTCGATCGTAAGCCTTAGCCATATCCAATTTTAGGGCCGCCCACCCTACCTGCCCCAACTGTTTCCTTCGTAAGTAGTGGCCAACCTCAGACGCAATAAGAATATTGTCTGAGATGAGCCTGCCAGGCAAAAAGGCACTCTGCGACTTCGAAATAATATTATCAAGCAACGGCTTCATACGATTAGCGATCATCTTGGCCATTACTTTATATACCACATTACACAAAGCAATAGGCCTAAGATCCGCAACAAACTCAGGGGCTGCCTTCTTAGGAATTAACACAATATTCGCATCATTTAACTCTAGGGGGAAGGATGATTGAGATAAACAATTAAGCACAAAATCAGTAACATCCTTACCAACAAGATCCCAGAACGCCTGGTAGAAGCCCGGGTTCATGCCATCTGGTCCTGGTGACTTATCCTTCCCCATGGAGAACAAGGCGCACTTCACCTCCTCAGGCTCAAAAGGACAGAGGAGAGCTTCGTTCTGTTCATGTGAGACCCGTGGAACAAGAGTATCCACCTGAAAGCCTCCGGCACCGCCACTGGACTGGAAAATCTGCTCATAATAGTTCGTAACCAGCGCGAAAAGACCAACCCCCTCCCTCCAGACCCCGTTATCATCCTTAAGTTTCACCACAAAATTCTTCCTTTTCCGGTACGTGGCGTACTGGTGGAAAAACTTAGTATTTCTATCCGCCCCCTGCAGCCAGTGCTGTTTGGCCCTTTGTTTCCAGAAAGTCTCTTCCTGCGACAGAATGGAACACAACTGCTCATCCAGCTGTCTAAACTTCCCCAGAGATTCCGGGTCCATGCACCCTCTCAAGGCATTCATTTCACGCCTTATTGTGTCAATCCTAGAACCAAATTTGTGGAAATGATCCCCTCCCCACTTCTTCAAACCCTGACCACACGTCCACAATCTCTCCTGCAAACCCAACCCCTGCGTACTCAGCCATCTCTCCTCTACCACTCCTCTGCAGCCCTCATCCCCTAACCACGCATTCTCAAACCGAAAACTGCGGGGTCTTCGTGTCGTTACAGTGCCATTAATATCCAGAAAAAGGGCCGTATGATCCGACATTAATGTATGAATATTATATAGCCTGGCTCTATCATGAATCCCCAACCAAGCTGCGTCCCCCACCGCCCTATCCAGCCTCTCCTCTACCCAATCCGGCGTTCCCTTACCCCGTTCCCAGGTAAAAGGATACCCAATCATGGGAATCGTCGCCAAACCACAATCCATAAGCGCCTCCCCAAACCCTTCTAGCAAACCAACTGGATGCGGCCGTCTACCCCTCTTCTCAGACTGATGAAGGAGATCGTTAAAATCTCCTATTACAACCCAAGGAAGATCAGATGTATCCTTGAGCGATCGTAGAAAATCCCACGACTCTCTTCTTCTCGTGCTTTGCGCAAAACCATAATAGCAAGTAAGCCTCCAGTGATGTTGGTTTGGCAGTGACACCACCAGATCAATGTGGTTATTAGAGTACTTAATTAACCGAGCGCTATTATTTTTTGCCCAAAGAAAACCCATGCCTCCTTTCTGTCTCACACTATCAACACCAAACCCTCCCTCAAAACCAATCTTCACACGGAGTCTCTCCACATGACTCCTATCCACCATTGTCTCCATCAAGTACACAAAATCCGGCTTCCTTTTGGACACTAAGTCCACAATTTCACGAACCGTCCGTGGATTGCCCAAGCCACGGCAGTTCCAACTTAGAGTACTCATTGGGAAGGGCGGGCCTGATCAACAGGTCCCGCTAGAATAGAAGTAACCGAATCCACCAACATCTCCCCCTCCTCCACCACCACCCTCTCCGCCAACTCCCTCACCACACCCCGTCTCCGCTTCGGATCGACCCGCACCCCCTCCTCCTCCCCCTCATCCCGAACCCCCTCCCTCAAACCCTCCATATGCGGCCGAATTGGCCTTGCCGCCCCACCCCTAACCGCCGGCAAACCCCGGCGCAATTCTGCCGGGTTAGCCGAACTGCCACCCGCCCCGGCAGTGTTCAAAAGTGAGCCATGAGCAAAACCCCCCTCCCCGCAACCGAGCCCCAACTCTCGATGCCTTCGTTCCCCCTTTTGCAGCCAACTCTCCCCTACCGCCTTTGCCAGTAAATTGCCCCCAGCCTTCAAACTCGCACTAAACGGATACTGTTCTGGCTTTAGGCCAGACACACGAGCATCAAGGCAGAACTTATCCGTGTGCCCTAGCTTTCCACAATAGTAACAAAACATATGCAAACGTTCGTACCGGAAATTAACCCACGTCCACGAATTGTCCCGCAATATCATCTTCATGCGCCTTTTCAGAGGTGCTGTTACCTCAACCGTGACCTTCACCCTGTAGAAAGTTGTCCAGGGTCTCACAAAATTCCGCTCATCCAGCCGAACAAACAGCCCCAAAAAATCCCCCACTTTTTCCAAAACTTTTTCCGTTCGGTAGCCAACCGGCAAATCATGAACCTGTATCCAATAATCAATCGTATTCAAACTGACCTGCGTAGGATGCTCACCAGGCCGCAACGACTGACATATTAAAGTTGCATTCTCAAACGCCCAAGGACCATTCTCCAAAACATACGCCAAATCCGTGTCATGATAAAACGTGAATAAATAAAGATTCGGCTGCACCTCTGTAACCTGTATCCCCATCAACGGCCTCCAGACAGATGCCATTACCTGTCTCATCACGTCAAACTTGACACTTCGATCGGTTAAGAAACGGCCGACCAGTTGCCAATATTGTCGCTCAACCTCTACCGCGATCGCCGGACTCGGATCATCTTCGAAGCGGACCCCCGTCTCTTCGTCATCGAGGGTTATCTCTGCGCAACCTTTGACCAAACCACGAACATCCATGCTGCCTTAACACTGTTAACGCAAAACTGCCAACCTGAGTGATTGTTCCTGAGGAAACCCTACGTACGTAACAGTCTGGACGATCGGAAACAAAGCAGGAAACCGGGAACGTAGCAGCGTAGGCGGTCGAAAACGAAACAAAATAATCTGTTGAAAAATCTATAAACCCTAGATACCAGGGAGAGAGATAGAGAAAACCCTAGATACCAGGGAGAGAGATTTTATTCAATCGACCAATTAGCCTATAATCTTCTTATTTAAACAAGTTAAATATGACATGTAAGACCTAATGAGTGTTAACATGGATAATAAAATTTATTTCTCCTAACTTAAGCATCTTATATATCATCCCAAGTGTTTATTCGATATATAAAGATCAATTTGCTTTTTTTTTTTTTTTTTTGGTCCTCCAGTTATACCTGTGGTACAAATATAATCTCTAAGTTATATGCATGACTATTTTTAACCCCTAAAGTAGGTATGTGCAAGGTGACGATTTTTATTTTCTAAATGACTAAATCAACCACTTTATTAAAATACATATTGAGGACAAAAATAGTCTTTGAGGGACTAAAATTCCTACTTTGTGAATAACTTATGATTTAAAGATGGTCACGCGTATAACTTAGGAACTATATTTGTACCACGGGTATAACTGAAGGAAAAAAATGTAATTTTTCCATAATTAAAATAAAAAGCGAAGTAAGATCGCCCAATTGCCACCGCCACTGATTAGTGTCATCGTTGCCAATCATCACACTACCGCTATCCCGGGTATATCATAAAGAAAGAAAGATAATCATAGAATAAAACCAAATAAACCAATCTATGAAAACGGTGTCATTTTTTTTTATCGTTGCAAAAATAGTGGTTAAGGATTACAGGTGAAAAGTTATAGTTCCGTAGGGGATTGGCGCTGCGCTATGGCACATACTTGTGTAATTACCTAACTTTTAGACACCAAAGCCTTGAACCCATAAGAACCCAAGCACACTCATGGACATGGATGGGCAAATCAATACACTTAATATACGAAATAACACAATAAGAAAAAATAGGGCTCAATCACAATCCTATTGCCACAGCTGAAGAACTCATAAAATGATTTATGAGGTTGGATCCAGTTAGATCACACTATTTATATGAGTTCACTTGTGATGTAAAAATTAAATCATTTTAGTACAACAATAACTAGGAAAATAGATGATAAACAATAAGCTTATGCCTAATTAAGTAGGTATATTATCTCATTCTATCAAGGAAGAAACATCTTTGAAAATTCTTCTGTACGTACGTTAGAATATTTAAGTCACTATGAGTATTTTATAAATATTTTATATAACCAAATCTCATATATTGTATCAAATAAATCCTATACGTACATACACTAATAAGGTGAAATGTTATATATATATATATATATATATATATATATATATATATATATATATATATATAAAGAAACAAAATATTATTGGCGTTACTTGACCCACCGAAAATAATATAAAATCATTGTAAAATATATGAAAAATAATATAATGTTTCATAACAATATAGGAAGTAATATTTAATAATAATAAAAAAATTATTAATTTAACTTGAATGATGCATTAAAGGTCAAGGGCTCTCCAACCATATCATCACCACAAATAAAATGATGCATTAAAGGTCATGGTCATCACCACAAATAAACTGAAGGTAATGTGGTTCTCAACTAATATAATTAACCATCTATCCATAATTGTTGGGTGATTGAATTAAATTTTACCACAAATAATGATGAGTGACCAAAATTTATTTAGAATGTATGTGGTCATAATTACTTGGTCTCTGGTATTTAAAGAAGCTAGTTGTTGAGTACTAGATGATTCAATTCAATAAATCCTTACAACAGGATTATATTGTTAGTTTGTTGTAGAAATTAAATCAAACAACCAAAAAAAAAAAATAAACTTGAGAGTTGGGCTGGCAAGATGAAGAAGCAGCAGCAGCAGGTTTGTATGATAATGATAATAGGTGTGGTGGCGTGCAGCCTGGTAGGTGTGGCATTAGCCGTGCCCCCGCCCCCGCTTAACTTCAACAATGATGTCCAAATGTATTTTGGGAATCATCTTGGGCAAGTGCAAGACAACGGCAACACGATGGCCCTGAATCTTGACCAACAAACTGGTTCTGGTTTCAATACCAAAAATGAGTACCTGTTCGGCAGATTCGACATGCAAATGAAGTTAGTGAAAGGCTTCTCGGCTGGCACTGTCACCACCTTCTATCTAACATCACCTATAGGACAAGCGCACGATGAAGTGGACTTTGAATTCTTAGGGAATGCTACTTTTCAGCCTTACACAGTCCATACCAATGTATTTGCTGATGGGAAAGGTGACAGGGAGCAACAGTTCCATCTCTGGTTCGACCCAACAGCCGCATATCACGATTACACTATTATCTGGAACTCACAAAGAATTGTTTGGTTGGTGGATAACGTTCCGATTAGAGTATACGAGAATCACGAAAATGTTGGGGTTCCATTCCCAAAGAGCAAGCCCATGAAAGTATTCTGCAGCTTGTGGGAAGCGTCTGATTGGGCAACCCAGGGAGGAGATGTGAAGGTAGATTGGTCAAAAGCTCCCTTCACTGCCTACTACAAAAACTTTGTTATCGACGGTTGTGTCGGAACTTCCTCCTGCGCCGATAGTAAGCCATGGGGAAAGTATGCGCTTGATGCCGATGCCAATAATAAACTCCAAGGCGTACGAACAAAGAATAGGGTCTACAATTACTGCACTGATAACAAGCGTTTCGGGGGCAACCCTCCTGCTGAATGCAAACCCGCAGGCCCACAGCCTAAATAATTTAAGTTGCCGCCCGGCCACTCGCGTGCGTCGTTACAGATCGATCAATAATAATGCATGAGATTCAATTCATTATTATTTCTCATTTTGTAGATAGGTTATTATTATCTAGCTAAGCTAGATTGTATGTAATCCACTCATATATATGTAATGTATATATGGATTGCAATTAATAAACATTATTTATTTCTTTCATTTTTAATTTAATTGGTGCATGCATGATATATGCCAATAATATAATATTGCTACATATATTTTTTATTTGATTCATAGGTGCTTAATTGTACTACTTTTCTTGTGCATGATGAGAACAAGAATTTCTAGAGAGAATTTTATTATTGATAAATAGTTTATACAATAATACGGGAGTATTCAGAGATTGCGATAAGTTCAGAGATTGCGATAAGTAAAGACACCTGAACATTGAGCTTTGTCCCTTAAATCATTGAACCTTAATGTGGTTAATGTGGTTAGTAGTTTGGTGAAGATATCTGCCAAATTAGTCTTTTTTAGAGATGTAATTAATATTGGATGCATGTTTTTTCATGAAAAAAAATGATAATCTATTTCAGCATGTTCTAATCGAGCAAGAAATATAAGATTTGCACAGAAATAGGTACCAAGAAAAGTTTTGGTGCTTTTGCATAGTGAAGCAAAGTTTTCAAATTAAAGCAACTAATCGTTTTACCTCTCTTGAAACGTCCACTATAGCTTTGTATATGTTGACGATCTAGTCACTGTCTTTTGTTTGCGACATGCCAAGAAATTAGATTTTACTAATAAAAATAGCAAAACCATTTGTGGACTTGCAATCATAAGGACATCCTGCCCAATTAGAGTCTATAAAGGCATGAATATCATGTTAGAAAGATTTCATAAATTAAAGCAACAAACTATTTCTCGAGGGTACGTAACAACATGGATCATCTTAGATTTACAAAAATCTATGTACCTTAATTAAAATCTCAAGAATTTTCAAAATATCCCTAATAATTACAATTTGTTGAATGGATTTGTCCTACTAGTCTTGAATTAATGAGATTGATAGGTGCTTAATTGTACTATTTTTCTTGTATATTAATTTTCATTTTTTTGTTTAATATTGCTTTAATTTAATTGTGTTACAAGTGACCAATTATTGAATAAAGTATGTGGGATGAGTTAATCCAGAGCATTATTGTGTTTTGAAGATAATAAGGACAAATTGGAAAAAAAAATGAGCTAAACAAGATGGAAGCCAAAACAACGCCATCGCGCAAAGGGTGTCACGCGCTTGAAGTAGCTCATGAGGAACAACTTCATAAAGTCATCATCTGCTATCACGAGCTTCATCATGATGTGACAAGGGCTCGTGAGGGGAACATCTGCGAGGCACCTTATGCTACCACGAGCAAGCATCACAACGTGTGACAAGGGGTCGTGACGTACAAGATTATCAAGACTGTCACGAGGCTTGTCACGTCATGATAGAAAATCTAAGCGATACCTTCAAAAGCTCTAAAAGGGAGAGAGTTTAGAATTTATAAAGCTTCTGATCAAGGATCAACAAGAGGAGTGTATGAAAGTTATTCATTGATAGATAGATCAGATTTCAAATTTGCAAGACCAAGCAGTTGATTTATGCAAGTGCAATATTGTAAGACTCAGTGGAATTCTACTTATTTGATGCTTTCTGTTGCATTGCATTTTTTTTTTCGTTTGGTACAACAAGAGTCTTCATTTCATTATGCAGGCATAACTAGGTACCCCCCCCCCCTATGTAATTTTTTTTTTAGAATGAACCTTGGGGTGCCTCCCAAGAGCGCCACGTTTAACATCATTAACCCGACTTGAATGAAAAGCAAGAAAAAAGAGTAAAGCGTAAAAAGAAAGTAAAAGTGTAGGAAAATAAGGTGGCACCCCATGCACGAGGCACTTATTGTTCATGAGTGAGACATGTAACCAGAAACATAAGAACCCAATAGAAAACCCACCAAGGAACCGATCAAGGGTCTTCTTCAATAGTTACTTCCTCATTTTCAGAAGTTCGGGACCTGCTCACAACCTCATGTGGAAAATTGTTGATGGTGTCCATTGCCTCCACATGCAACTGATATTGAAATGCTCTCATGGTCTCCCAGTCTATGACAAAGGGATATCTAGGGGGACCTCCGGGAAAATGGGTATGTTGCGGGCCCGGGAATCTGGGAACGCGTCACTGGGCAACAGACGGGACTTGAGGGACGAGCCGGGGAAGCTTATGACTATGATGACTTTGGTTTCCCTGTGGTTGTAGTAGCAGCTAAGGAAACAAAGAACAATAGTAAAAGAATGAAGAGTTTTGGAGTTCTTCCTCTCCCAAATTGCATTACACAATTTCAGATTTCTTAAGACAAAAATGGATGACTCCAACTCAGAAAAAACTAACCAATAAATACCTAAAGAACTTAACGTTCACTTCCACCTAATTAGGACTTTTCAAAAACAACTTAACAAACTTAACAAACTAAAGGAAATAAAAAGGGAAAAACATAATATAAATAGCTTTAAACTGCTTAGCTTTCAAATGCTCATGCTTGTTTTCTTATCGCCTGCGTCTGTGATACGTTCTTCCGATGAATGCATCATCACACCCCTCCAAGTCAACAAGCTTGTCCTCAAGCTTGAAATCCGGGAACAAGGACTGAAAACGGTCTACGGGTTCCCAGGAAACATCTTTAGGGGCGGCGCCAAGCCAATGGACCAGAATTTCCTTGACCCCTCAGTTCAACTTGGACTTGGTCACCAGATGGGTTTGGAGCAAAACTCGACCATCGTGCAGTGGGGGTAAACCTGGGGCTGTCGTTGGTGGGTCACCGTGAAAGGGCTTCAGCAAGGATACGTGAAATACGTCGTGGATCCGACTGGAAGGAGGGAGAGCGAGTTGGTATGCCACGTCACCCACACGCGTAAGAATGCGGAAAGGACCAAAAAACCGTGGGCAGAGCTTGTGGAACACACGGCGATTGACCGAGAGCTGGCGGTATGGATGTAGGCGCAGCCAAACCCATTGCCCAATATCATATTCAACATCGCGGTGTGAACGGTTATAGAGCCGCACCATATGTACCTGAGTATTCTTAAGGTGTTCCCAAACCAAGGTGAGAAGGGCATCGTGGTCTCGAAGTGCAACATCAACGGTGTCAAGGCTGGACACCCCTGGTTCGGAGGACAAGAGACGCGGAGGGTCGCGGCCGTAAACCACACGGAAGGGTGAAGTCTGTAACGCCGAGTGGAAAGAGGTGTTGTAACAGTATTCGGCCCAAGGGAGGCAGTCAACCCACTTCCTTGGGCAGTCAGCTACTAGGCAACATAGATACATAACAATGGTACGGTTTGTCACTTCTGTCTGCCCATCCGTCTGCGGGTGATAAGCAGAGGAAAATGATAGAGTGGTACCGGTGAACCGAAACAGCTCTTTCCAAAAGGCACTTGTGAACGTTATGTCGCGATCACTGACAATAGTCTCCGGGGTCCCATGGAGTTTGACAATGTGCGCAAAGAACATGCCCGCAACGGAGGCCATCGTTTAAGGGTGGCTGAGAGGAATGAAATGTGCATACTTTGATAGGCGGTCGACGACGGAAAGAATCACCGATTTGCCATGAACCCTTGGTAGGCCTTTGACGAAGTTCAGCAAAATGTCGCTCCAAATAAGCGACGGAATTGGCAGGGGCTGGAGGAGGCTTGCCGGATGAAGGTTCTCCCCCTTGCAACGTTGGTAGGTAAAGTACTTCCGAATGAAGTCGCGGACGGCACGTTGCAATCCAGCCCAAAAGAACTCCCGGGATACGCGAAAAATCATTTCCTGGGTCCCTTCGTGTGAATTGTCGTGAAATAAAGCCTAGCTGATAGTTGGATACACATTAATGGCTATATGCTCAACACGTGAACCGGTAAACCGTAGTCGCTTACGGGTGGCGCTGAGATTCGAATTCATGACCTTTAGTCTGGCTCTGATACCAAATTAAGGCATGTACTCCATCTCAACTAAAAGCCTAAGCTGATAGTTGGATACACATTATTGGCTATATGCTCACAGGGAAGATAGAGCTTACCTTTGTAACGGATGAGGTCGCCATCTAGGGACTAGTGAGGTCCTTCGATGTCGTCCCTAATTTTGCTAACAAGACTTGAGCGGTATCCGAAGTAGCGAGTTCACGACGAAGAGAATCTAAAATGGGGGAGATCAGAGTTGAGATAGCCATGAGAGAAAGAGTATCCTCGTCATGTCGTAATAACGCATCCGCCACTGTATTGAGGCAACTCGCACGGAACTCCACTTCAAAGTCATAACCTAGAAACTTACTAATCCAATGATGTTGGGGAAACGTGGTGAGGTGTTGTTGAAGTAGGAACTTCAGGTTATAGTGATCGGTGCGAACCGTGAAGGGACGACCCCATAGGTAGTGTCGCCAATGCCGAATCGCTTGAGATAACCCAATCAACTCCTGTTCATACGAGGCCAATTTTGATGTCAAGTGGCGAGACGCCGACTAAAGAAAGCCACCGAGTGGTTATCTTGGTGTAAAACTCCACCTATGCCCACCCCCGAGGCATCACATTCAACCACAAATAGTTTAGAGAAATCCGGAAGTTGCAACACTGGCGTCGTGGTAAGCGCAGCTTTGAGCGCCTGAAAGGCTGCTGTCGCCTCCGGCGTCCACAAGAAGTTATGTTTCTGAAGAAGAGATGTTAAAGGAGCAGCGATTATGCCAAAATCCTTAATGAACTTATGATAGAATCCTGCTAGACCAAGAAAGCCGCGCAGACCTTTAACAGAATGCGGTTGTGGCCAATCCAATACCGTTTGGACATTGCTGGAGTCTACAGAAACGCCAGTGGCATCGATAATGTGGCCGAGGTAACAGACCCTGTCGAGACCAAAAGAACACTTGGATTTTTTGACTAACAGTTGATGACGTCGGAGGAGAGCAAAAACCATCCGTACATGAGAGACGTGTTTCGCCCAAGACCTGCTATAAATTAAAATATTGTCAAAGAAAACCAAAACTATTTTATGAAGTACAGAGTGAAAAAACTCATTCATGAGAGCTTGGAATGTCGATGGTGCGTTGCAGAGGCCAAAAGGCATAACCAAGAACTCAAAATGGCCATGGTGTGTACGAAAGGCCATCTTCTCAACATCCTCCGGATACATGCAGATTTGATGGTAACCGGAAC